GAGCGGTCTACACTTTTTTTCTCATTACTAAATCACCCATCTCTCTCGCTTTACTGCATTCACTGCTCATGATTTTATATTATACATTTATGTTATTATATACTATATGATAAACACAACGAATCTACGCTACGAACGGTTTGCCTGACGAAGCTCCGCGGCTCATGTTTGACATATGAATGCAATGACAATGCTGTTATTTACGAGCCATACGCAACGAGAAAGCTGCGCTTGCAAGGTGAATGCATGTACATCATAATCAAAGATAATCGATGAAATAATTAAAAATAATGATATTATTTAACACAATCTACTGACATATTAAAAAATTTAAGAAATTCTTTTCAAATAAAATAGATAGATTCAATAGGATAAAATATAATTCTGACGAACAAATTAATATATCTGTTTCAAATGATATCAAATAATATGCAAATAATATAATCCCGAACAAAAATCATAAATTTCCATTTTATGTCATTTATCTTTAATTTTTATTATCCAGGATTTGTTGCTGTCTTTTTAAATATTAAACGGTTATACAAAAATATAAAATAATAATTAATAACTAATTCTTATCAAATAATATTAAAATAATTATTAGTAAAAATGTTTTTTAAATATATAATTAAAATTTGACAATATATTATACAAACTAATGAATGATAACGAAAGAATTCATTAAACTTCAACGTAGTATCGTAGAGTTAATTTTCTAATATACTAATTGACAGGTCGTTTATTTTATTTATTTCAACATTGTATTTTATATCAAATATGAGAAGGTCTACAACATCTTTAAGTTCCTTGAAAACGGAATATATATTTTCAATCAGGTATGCAGCCACTTACTTTTAATGGTTGATATAACGAGATTGGTCGCACATGAGTCGCGAGGAAACTTAAAATTCTACGACGAGCGGCCATGCTAAATCATCCTCCGATGCCATCCCGTTCTAACGACACATCTATACATGTGTTTCTTTTGCGCTAGCACATATAAATGAATATGTCTGTGTGTACGTTATCTGTTCGTGTCTCGTGTGTTCTTATACGACTGAGCGAAGCGAGGGAAGAACGATCGATCGCAAGTACAAAAGCTTCGTTTTACCTCTTCTCCTAACACCGACATGGACACGCGACATTACGACGCACGTTAACTAATTATAGAGCGAACTAATTGCAGTGAGAAAGGCGAGAGGAAGATGGCATACTGGATGGACGGGGTTTTTCTTCAAACATGCTTTGAAGATGCGCTCGATCGATCGATATTTATCACCGACACAATTTAAAAGCAAAGAATTCTTAACATTAGAATGCATGAAGAGAAACATTAAGAAATTGTCAATGTAAAAGCTATTACTGCCAAAAATATTTTTATTAAAATATTTAATAATAAAATATTTTATTATTAGAGAAATATATCGCACAATATTCGAGCTCTTTCAAAATGACGTATCATTTGAAAAAACATTTTATCTACTTTTGATAATATTGGAGAATATTGTCGATATTCCATTATTAAATTGACAATTCCGATATCCAGGTTGACGATAAATATTAATCACGAGCTTCATTCAATCGTATTTTCATTACGCTTTTATGCTAAATATGATTACTTAATTTACAAAAGAGAAAAAAATAAGTTAAAGAATAAGGAAAGTGAAATATATGTAAATATATAGTGAATAAAAAAAATTAAAGAATTATTAGAATAGGGATGAGAGACTAAACTTTGTAAATAGAATGTAACAGTAAGGAAATAATTATAATATTAACATAGAATATAATATAAATTAGATAAAATATAATATAGATTAGAATATAATATAAAATTTATGCAGTTTACATATAATGGAAAGTATTTATATGTAAACTGCATAAATTTTGCAATTGATATATTTATATATTTATTAATATATTTATATGTCAAACTTATGTAATTATAATTATAACATAGATATAGTATATTAAGCAAATTTTTTATAAAACCTTGTAGTCGAAAGGCTTTGATATTAAACAGATAAACATTTAGCTATATTTAACATTTTTTGAGAATATTTCACGCATTTCATATTTACTTTTATTAATTAAATGATTTATTAATTAAATGAAAATTAGATTAGAGATTCGAATAATCACATTTAGCATGAAACACGGAGTAAAAATACGGAGAGTAAAACTACATCGCATACTTTTTCTCGTTATCCCTTGTAACCTCGAGATATATCAATTATTAAGCTATAAACTTGGAAAATTTTTTTTTTATATTAAGTGATAAAGATTAAATCCGCAAAGAAATCACTCTTAATCTCGATTTTGAAGATTCTTTTATGTGATGTCGTACATGTAAATACAAAATCGAGAAAAAGTACGCGATACGCTTATGACCCTCGCGTATAAACCTATGTAAACACGTTGACCGCCTGATCTAATTAATTTCTAACGAAGAGAAACCACGCGCGCCGATCGATCGAGCTCCGACGGGAACCTTCGCAATCCTCACGATTTTGTCGAGTCAGGCAGATCGTTCGTATTTTGAAAATGTCCTCAAGCAGTTCTTTATTAAACTCTAAATATATATATATATATCTTTTTTTTGTATATATTATCTTCATATATATATTTATATATATATATATATATACCTCTACCAAAAAGAAAACAAAGGAAATACACTAGGCCTAATTGGCGGTGGCGGGGTAGGGACGCCCGGCCGAATACGCTCAGAGCTCCGACTTCCGGTTTAGGAAACGCTATGCTTACTCCCTTGCCGTTCGCG